GGCACAGTAATGGATAATGATTGGTCAACATTCTTAGAATCACCTTTATAAAATTAAATTTTAAGCAATTAAATATAGTCATAATTTAAAATTAAATGGTTGTATTAAATACAAACTTTATTAATAATAATATAATAAATAACATAATACTTACTAATAGTGAACACCACTAAAAGCATAACAAATACGACAATCGTTGAATGCATTGTAAGTTTCGGTAGAGTTTGTATAAAATAAATTTTATATTATTATAACTTATAATTTACTTTTATTTGTGATTTAATTGTCTCCAAATTTACCTGTTTATATACAATAAGTTTATTTGTTTAGTTATTACATAAATTATCGTTCATAAAATTATATTCTTAGAAAGTGTATAAGATTATGGTAGACGTATTTATTTCACAAATGTTTACTTAATAATTATACAAAATAAATATTTGTCAAGAAGTACAATTTATATCATAATGATTTAAAACAGGACATTGATAATTTAAATAACTTTTCTTTACATTGAGACATTATATAATTATTCATACGCCGTAAACAATAGACAAATACAAAATATTGTGATAATTATAATCATTGATTTTTAATCAATTTCATGTTTAAATGTTTACTCCAAAAGGATTATCAAAATTACTTAACATATTTCATATTTCAACAGCACGTAGACATCATTTTTAAATACAATGTATAATATATATTATGTTAATATTATATATACAGGGTGGACTTTAAGTATATATTTATTAGAAACTTAATAACTCGTAAACTATATAAGATATTTTATTCAAATTTGTTGCTAAAAGTACATAAATGTATGGAACGATTGAATCACGTTTTCAACATGTTGGCCAACCATGACAGTCACTTGGCCAACTCGGGTTTCAAAAATCGCAACTGCATTGATAATTATTTCAAGTTTTAGAGGTCGCCATTACAATTAATGAAACATGTTGAGCACATTGACGATATATTCACTATCATTCACAAATAGTTGTGCAATTTTTTAAATTTCTAATTAGCACTTAACAGGTGGCGCGATTAAAAAACATAGATGTAGCATAAATTGAAGTGTCTTTTTGAAAATCGCGCAATTTGTAAACTATTAATTAAAATAGAAAAATGCGCAAGTATTTAAACCTAAGTAAATAAAATAAAAGTATTTAGTAATTAATTTTTTTTAAAAAGACAATTTTTAAACTCACCCTGTATATACATTGTATTCAAAATAGATGCCTACGTGCTATTGAAATATGAATGAGATATAATGTTAGATAAATAATTTTGATAATCCTTTTGGAGTAAACACTTAAAGAATGAAATTGATTAAAAATCAATGATTATAATTATCCCAATATTATTGTATTTGTCTATTGTTTTCAGCGTATGAATAATTATATAAAGTTGTGTAAAGATTAATTATTAAAATTATTAATGTCACTTTTTCAAATCATTATAATACAAAAATTGTACTTGTTGACAAAGATTTATGTTGTATAATAATTAAGTAAACATTGATGATTGATAAATACGTCTACCATAATCTTATGCACTTTCTAAGAAAGTAATTTTATGAACAATAATTTATGTAATAACTAAACAAACAAATCCATTGTATAAATAGGTAAATTTGGAGACAATTAAGTCACAAATAAAAGTAAATTATAAGTTATAATAATATAAAATTTATTTCATACAAACTCTACCGAAACTTACAATGCGTTCAACGATTGCCGTATTTGTTATGCTTTTAGTGGTGTTCACTATTAGTAAGTATTATGTTATTTATTATATTATTATTAATAAAGTTTGTATTTAATACAACCATTTAATTTTAAATTATGACTATATTTAATTGCTTAAAATTTAATTTTATAAAGGTGATTCTAAGAATGTTGACCAATCATTATCCATTACTGTGCCAAAAGAACCTGATCAGTTTAACAACTATATTAAAGGTAATTCATTAATATAAAAATGATTTCAATAATTAAAGTAAATTAAAATTTAATTTACAAAGCTGTAAACGGTACCTCAGCTGAGCAAGGTGATTCCAACAACTGTTATACTTGCTCCTATCCATGTTCGGCGTATTACTGTTGTTCCGGTCCTTATCCCCAGTGCTGTTACATTAGCGGTGGCTGTTATTGTTGCTCTTCTTAGTGTTATATTATATAATAACATGATTAATGATTTTAAACTTTACTACAAATAATTTTTAAATTTTCATTAATTGATCGAATTGTAATTGTACTAAATTTGACAATTAAAATTATTGTTAAATTAAAAATATTAAATCTTAAATAACATTAATTTTTAAATAATAAGATAAATAATAACATTATTTACGTATAAACTATCGCTGAACAGTGATTTGATCATTATGGCAATATTATAAAATGCCAATTCTAATAAAATATTTAAAATGAAATGTATTATGTAATTTGCTTATAAAAATCATCCAAAATGTATGAGAAAAACACCGTACAGTTTATGACCCAAACCCCGTTCAGACAATGGCATTGTTATGAGACTATCGGTAACCTTATAGTCGTCGCCTCATTACTTCCATCCCTTATAATTAGCTAATGATTAATTAAATACTAGTTTTAAATAACTAATGAATCAATACCTGACTGTTTTAAGCACAATCTCTTATTTGGTGATGTAATCCCATTGTCCGCTCAGGTATTGCCGGCACATTACGCACGCCTTGTCCCGTATTTTGTGTTATTATTATGCACATTTAACCTATTGTATAAATATAGTTATTATATAGAAATAACAACAATCTATGACCAAAATTTGTCATAAGATTTTAGAAATCTTATATAATATAACTTAATATTTGTCTAAAGTTTAAACATGATTAGATATAATTTAAAATTCACATAATACACGTATGAATAAAATAATATTTAAAATTATTGGTTTTTAATTTAAACATCGTTTTAAGATAGAATAATGTTGCTAAAACATTAGCACTATGTGAACCTAGTGCTCTTTGAATAAAACAATTTGATTGTTTTTATTGTAGAATTAAATGTTTTAATTGCAATTTTAATATATTTATACTTAAATTTTAGAGAAAAATTCAAACTAAAACAATGAAATGAATTTATTAAATTTATTAACATTAAATTCTACAACATGTTTAAAATAAAACCTGATTAGTTGATAAAAAATATAATTTTTATAAAATACAAATATTATTCATTTTAAAACAACATTTATTATTTTAATTTATATTTATTTATAACGTAATCCTTGTGTTTGCGGTAAGCAATAAGTTTATCCCTCGCGTCCTCCTAAATAATAATTTATTATATTTATTAATCAATTGATATATTAAATTAAAAGAAAACTATCAAGCACAAAAATTATTAAATCATCATGGTAACATAATTACATACCCAAAAGCAATAGCGCACTGACGATGTCCTGAGTTTGCTTAAACTCCAGAGAGTCCACAATAGATAGGCCGGGAGTGCAAAACAGTCACACTCTTTGATCAACTGGTCCTCCGTCTCCTTCCCGGCGCTCAAATCGGGTGAATGTTTGATATAATGGCACATAAAGTGTCGCTTCTCCTCATCGGTCGGATAGGCGTCAAAGTCGACCCTAAAGTACGGGTAATCGGTATTGAACTCAATTTGCGTCAAACGAGTGGCGCTTTGCATGAAATGTGAGCCAAAGTCAAAGCCCCGGTAGTTATAAGCGGCGAACTCGTAGTCAATGGCCAGTAGGCCGTCCTCGTAGGCCAGCGGGTCGTCCGGTATAAGTATATTACCATATGTCAGATCGTTGTGCGCAAACACAACGGGTGACCCGCACTCGGGTAGCACTCGTCTCAGCCATCGTAGCTCTCGGCGAAAGTCGTACGCCAGGAGTTCCCGCTCGAGCTCCGGGTTTGGGCATAAATTGGTGTCCTCCGGGCCCGGCTTGTGGTTAAGCACTGTGTCTATGGATTGTTCAAGTGTTTTGAATAAATAATCAGGGTGTTTATCAACTGGTACGTCTAGTCGATGAATTTGGGCAAATTTTTTGGCTATAATTGCCATATATGCCGGTTCTTTGAGCTCCTGGCGCTCTATTGTACGCGACTTTTAATTGTTTTTGATAAATGTTAATTAGTATTGAATAAAACATGTAATAAATTGCTTACGGGAATAAACTCCTCGAGTCGGCCGCCGGGGAAAACACCGTACAGTTTGGGACCCAAACCCCGTTCAGACAATAGCATTGTTATGAGACTATCGGTAACCTTATAGTCGTCGCCCGGGATTGTAGTCCCGATGCCATACAGTCTTAACAACACATGTTTCGGCTCATTGGCCACCGGTTCCCGATCCTCAGATAGTGAACAGTAATATAAATCATTGCTTCCATTTCTACATTCATTAGTGAATTCAATAATAACAGTAATACTAATAATAACTGATCCAAACTATACCTAATTGTCTTAAACACCATCTCATCTCTGGTGATGTGATCCCATTGTCCGCTCAGGTATTGTTGACACATGTCATACGCTTTGTTCTTCATTTTGTTGACTAGTTTTAATTGAGTTTTAAAAATTAAATAAATGATTATTATAGAATGAAATAGAGTAAAATATATTGTATTATATTATTAGTAATATATAACAAAAAACTACATATAATAACTGTAATAACATTTATATATAAGGATTTATTAGTTCAAGCGTCGTTAAAGATGCGATATTTTGTAAATTGATTATGATACTGTTCTCAATCGATTATTGTGCCCACTATGGGCTTCAAATATCTATTGATTATTAAATTTAATTTAGTTGTGTCTAAATCGCATATAAATGTCTGTCCAGCCAATGTCTGGCCACCCGTACGGCAACACATATTAGACATTGTTTTATACAAAATTATAAAGAGCTTATTTGACGCGATTGTTCACCCGAAAAATAAATCTCACTTATAATGTAAATTGTATGAGTGTACATGAACGACCACTATGGCTAAAAATGTGCCGCGCCCGTGATTGTAGCCGTGGTGGTCACCCGATGTTTGGTTACTTATCGGTAGTATTGAAACTGGTTCGAGACTCCGATGCCAAACATGTTGGTTGAAGATATGTTCATAGGGTAGGGATACAGGGAATTGACTATTGGAGATTACTTAGACATGTTTAGGAACAGCTAGCAATTAAATTAACGGTGTTTTTACATTATTTTAATGCTAAAAAATTCTCGGAAATTGTAATTTTAAAAATTAAACCAAAATTAAAATTTAATAACAAGGGGTATAAAATCTATACCCACACTGCTTTCAACCCTCATATACCCCCTACTTATTACCACAGATACCCATCATTTCTAATGTCTGTGAGAGAAATGGTATTAAAAATGGCAGATGTCATCAAATCGGGTGTGTCTTCAGATTTTGGTCTTAAAATCAAGTTTAATCTTAAATTAGGAAATTGAAAATTTGGTGACACAATGGGTGATAGTATATGATTGTTGCAGTGAATAGACCGCTGATCAAAGTTTATTATCTTAAGAATGAAAAATATTTGAATTTTATTACTTCCAAACGACTCTTGAACAAATAATTCCTTATAACATTTATACTACATTATTTTATTCTTTACATATAATAACTACTGTATAATAACATTTATATTATAATCTAATCTAAAAATGTACAAATCTGTTTGCTATGGTTTAAAATTCTTGCTTTGTTAGATTCAATTGAAATAGTGATTTGTTTATTATTTTTAACAATTTTATCATAATCATATTATAGATAAACCTTATTGCTAAATAATAAGTCCGTAAATACAACTAAATATATGATATTGAACTCATTTAACACTATAAAAATACAATATAGTTTATACAATTACAGCAAATTAATTTAAAATCAAATAAATTTAATATATTCTGAAATAAATTATTTAGACTCTATTGCAGTTAAAAATGACACATTAATATTAATTATAATTATGTTCATATAAATACTGGTATTACATTCTCACAAAAAAATCTATAAATACGACTATAACTTATAGTCTATAACATATCGTATCTGGCACTGTTCATAATGGGACGTACTTAATATCTCACCTCGATCATTTTAAGCATATTAAACATTATAACTAGTACCCCGTTTGCCCTCGATTTGCCCTGAGATACGATTAGGTCTATAAGTTATTGTCAATTAAATGAAAATCTAATTATAAAAATTGGGAACAATATTAAGACATTAATAATTTATATACTTAAACAAGGACCACTATGTGATAACTACAATTCGGTGGATGCATCATATTTGTCAAATTGTTTGATTTTATTTTTAGAATAATATCAAAAAAAATATTTTGAGAATTTTAAATATATTTAGCAAACTTTATTGCCATTTAACAAGTTTTATTTAAATTACGAAATTCTTTTACTATACCTCCATAAAAAGCAATATCTCATTTGAATAAAATTACTTGAAATGTTTAGGATTGCCCATTTTAAACATAAGTCATAGACTATTGTAATCTGTAATCACATGTTAAATCCCATAAACAGTTTGAGCGGAGGACCAACGGTCTGAACGATTCTATAAACCACATATTCTATGCAGAATTGTGGTTAAAAATAATTTAATATTTTAATTTAATATAAATAAGTTATAAATTCTATTTAATATTAATGAAACATTGCACCATTGAGATCCTAGTGTGTTATTTAATCAATATCTATTTTAATGATTAAAAATATATTAAACTTTGTATGTAATGAAATTAGTTGAAATGACTTTTATTATAAAGCACTATAATAAAGCACTATGTTGTTACATTAATAGAAATATATACAGAAATATATAAATATATGTAAGTAGCAGACCTATTCAGCCATATAGAATTGTGAGATTAGTTTCATTATTTAAATTAAAATAGTTTTTGAGAAGGTTCAATATATTACTTTAGATTATACAATTACTTTATATTGAATTTCAAACTAGCTAAAATGGCAAATTATATTAAACCACCAATAATTAATGCATTAATTAAATTCTTTTCACTTGAATTTATAAATGATAACAAGATTTTAAATTGCAAAATAAATAATAATACATCGAATCAACAGATCATCGTGTTCAGTAATCCGGTAATTTATAAACATTATAATTTTGAATTTATTTAATAATGCAACTTTATTTTCTATGTCCAGCAATTATATGGTATGCATAGATCAATATCACAGTATTTAACGTGTATTTTAAAATATGAAATTATGTTTCGACATTCAAATACCGTCAGGAAGGTAAAGGTGTTTAATCATGATCTAAATTAATTCATTTGATTAATTTGTTCATTTTAGTCATCATGTAATTCTTACAAAAATGACACGATATGCCTTGATTTTACTGATAACCATTATGATGAAAATTATATTACATATGCTAAACAAATGCCTTATAAACAAATAAATATGTTTGAGATAATGACCAGTAAAAAGAGTATTATTGATAAAACTTACCTTAAATTTTTCAAAACATTTGATATTCAGGTAATTTAATTTAATACATACTTTTGTAATTAGCCTAAACTATTAATAAGCATAAATGATTTAGTGTTGGCTATACTTGTTTATAATTATAATCTTGTTGATAATGGTATGGAATGTGGTCACTAAAAATCGTCACAAATTAATATACTGTTTTACCGATATATTAAGTACATTAACAAATCAAACGCCCGTCACATTTAAAACACTACACCATATATTAAAGTATAAATGCAATCATTGGACATATGTTTTAACGATATGCCTATGGATAATATGCTCGGCGTTTATCACCTGGTTTTTTACGAGTCAAATATTAAGCAATTATATGCACACAAATAGTAGACCCAGATATGAAACCATAGCCGATATCATAGCCGATAAAGCAATTATGTTGAAAGGCATTCAAAACCCGGATATTTTTCAACAACTCGTTGATCGCAAAACTGTTGCAATATTATTAAATAAGTACAATAATTACCAAAGATATATGAGAAAGTTAAGAAATGCAAGATTACATACAATTATTGAACACTTGTTGACTGGAAAAGTGGTTTCTATAAGCGATGCAAATTATGTTAAATACCAACAACTAATGTATCCAACACTTGATATCGTGGGAATTGACACCGGATTGAAACGTGTTATGCAGGCCTTTCTGGTCACCACGTATTACAACCGGACAATCGGTGAACACATCTTTACAATGTAGGTTTTTGTGTCGTATACTTTATATTATTAATATACTTTATTACTGTAATTAAATTTCATTTACAAACTGAGAAATTACCTTTAATCTAGATGATGTTTATTTTACTTTTAATTAAATATCTCATTGTTAATCTAACCAAGACCTGTTTTTATGCATTTTATATACCGTGAATGAAACTTATAAAATATATTATTAAATTGTTTTATGTTTATTATAGTGTTAAACATTGCGTCGAAAATGGACTTCATTTGCATAACTTATTTATTGAAGATATTTTGAACGCAATATTTGGCAGAACTAAGTTTTATTATAAATCACATCAAATAATGTCCCGATTGGAGTCCTATTGCATACAAAAGCCCTCATTTGTGATACGAATGGACCAAATGTTTAGAGTTGTGTTCATATCATTGCTATTCGGTTACTGTCTATCAATTGTGACATTTATTTCAAAACACACCTTAAATTCAATTCAGTTAATTGTTATGTTATATAAGAAATGTAAAATAAAAATAATTAGTGTAACATTTAGTTGTTTTGTATTTGTTATAAATATCTTTTTTAAAAACAATTAAAAACCTCTCATAATTATAAATAAAAAAAAATATTAAACATGGTTGTTTACAACATTCAAACTTTATTCACACTTGAATTAATAATAAAATTGTATAAAAATTTAGATATAATTGAAAATACACACACAATTCAAACAGTGATTTGTTTATTAATTTTCATGACTATCATACCATTACATTTTAGATAATTCATAATTTCTCTAAGGTAAATTAAATACACAATATTTATATAATTAAATATACTTATTAAATATTTATAATAAACCTTTCTTGTAAATTCCTTAAAATTAAAACAATACATGTTTGCAATTAATATCAGTCATTATGTATACCATAAGTTTTAATTAACCATGCTTTATGTTTTTCATACGCCATCAGTCTATCCTTCGAGTTCTCCTAACAAACCAATTTAAAAACTAGATTAATAATCAATAGAACCTAAACTAACATAATTGAACACAAACCCAATAACCAAAAGCCTGTTGCGATGTACGCGCCTGTCGTACGGCCCAAAGTGACCAAATCAGATGCGCTACCAAAGAGTAATAGTCGGCCTCACGAATCAGCTGATCCTCAGTTTTCCTCCCGGCGCTCAAATCGGGTGAATATTTGATATAATGGCACATAAAGTGTCGCTTCTCCTCATCGGTCGGATAGGCGTCAAAGTCTACCCGAGAGTACGGATAGTCGGGCGCCGAATAGTCGTACAGGTGTTCAGTGAAATGTGTGGCAAAGTCAAAGCCCCTGTGGTTATAGGCGGCCCACTCGTAGTCAATGATGAGTAGGCCATCGCCGCCCCCATAGGCCAGTGGGTCGTCACATATCAGGACATTTCCCGGCGCCAAATCGTTGTGAGTGAACACTACAGGTGACCCGCACTCGGGTAACACTCGTCTCAGCCATCGTAGTTCCCGGCGATAGTCATATGTTGTCATTTTCCGCTCCAGTTCGGGGCGCGGGTATCGTTGTGTGGGTGCGTCCGAACCGGTGGGTGTGAGTACTTCTGTCACCCATTTTTCCATCGTGGTGAATAGAAAGTCCGGTTGTTTATCTATGGGTACATCCAATGTGTGGATAGCGGCCAACTTTTTGGCAATTTTGGCCATCAATTCTCTGTCCTTCAGCTCTGGGGCTGTCATTGCCCGAGACTTTTGTTGTTTAAGATTAGGGTTTGGGATAGAAATAATTCATTACTTTTTATTGTACTTAACTGTAAAAATTAAATTAATTATGCATTAACCTTAAAATATTTTACTTATTTAATTTAATTTTAAAAATTCTATCATTTAAATAAATTAATAATAAAATATGTGATTAATTACTTACGGGTATAAACTCCTCGAGTCGGCCGCCAGGGAAAACACCGTACAGTTTGGGACCCAAACCCCGTTCAGACAATAGCAATGTTATGAGACTATCGGTTACCTTATAGTCGTCGCCCGGGATTGTAGTCCCGATGCCATACAGTCTTAACAACACATGTTTCGGCTCATTGGCCACCGGCTCCCGACCCTCAGGTAGTGAACAGTAATATATTTGATTACTATAACCGCCACTAATAATAAATATAAAGTTTATATAAGTTAATAACCAGGTTAAATAATTTGGCTGCACTAATAAATTTTGTAGTTAAATTATTTTTAAAAATATGTAATTAATAAAATAGTTTAAATGATAAATAAAGAAGTATAATAAATATTCTGCTTTCTTATAAACATATATTTTAAACTAATTAATTATTGATTATAAACGAACATGTACAAATATTTAAATTTACCTGAGTTGTTTTACGACAATCTCATCGCTGGTGATATTTTCCCATTGACCAGTGATAAATCTCCTGCATATATCTAGAGCCTTTTGCTCCATTGTAATTTAGTTTATTAAAAATATAAATAAAAATATTTTTGCTATAAAATTAGTTTTTATTTTGCACAGTTGGCATAAACAAATTATTGTACAAATGATAAATATACTTGATATGATATACATACTATCATCTAGGGACTTACGTATTAATGTTCAAAATGATCCTCATGTTTTACCACTGTATGATACTTAATGTACGTTGAATTTAATAGATTAAGAGATATTTCATTGGTATCTTCTTTTGATTATCAAGGACAAATTACATTTATATTTTCATAATGTAAAGTAAATAAATTTTCACAATCAATAGCATGCATTTAATGATAGTACTAACGTAATACTATTCTATATTTACTTTTAAGCACCTTTTAAGTAATTAATTTTAAAATCTAAATAGTTGTAAATTATTAATATACACGAGTAATTTATTTAGGTAGTTTTATTAAAATAATTTTAATTCTACTAAACTAAAATAAGAAATGTTAAAAAATTATCAACAATGATTTTTATTATTATTCAACTTAAGTCCATTTTAAAATTTTATTGTTAAAATTAAACTAATTAATAATTATATAAAATTATTCAAAATAAAATATACTCATTAAAAATGTATAATAATCCTTATTTATAAAATTCTTAAAATAAAACCAAAAACATACGGACAACTAATATCACTCATTGTGTATATCATAAGTTTTAATTAACCATGCTTTATGTTTTTCATACGCCATCAGTCTATCCTTCGAGTTCTCCTAACAAACAAAATAATAATAAACTAGATTAATAATCAATAGGACCTAGGGCTAAATTAATTGAACACAAAACCAATAACCAAAAGCCTGTTGCGATGTACGCGCCTGTCGTACGGCCCAAATCAGGTGCGCAACCAAAGAGTTATAGTCGGCCTCACGGATCAACTGGTCCTCCGTCTCCTTCCCGGCGCTCAAATCGGGTGAATGTTTAATATAATGGCAAACAAAGTGTCGCTTCTCCTCATCGGTCGGATAGGCGTCAAAGTCTACCCTAAAGTACGGGTAATCGGTATTGAACTCAATTGGCGTCAAACGAGTGGCGCTTTGCATGACATGTGAGCCAAAGTCAAAGCCCCGGTAGTTATAAGCGGCGAACTCGTAGTCAATGGCCAGTAGCCCGTCCTCGAAGGCCAGCGGGTCGTCCGGTATCAGTATATTACTATACGTGAGATCGTTGTGCGCAAACACTACGGGTGACCCGCACTCGGGTAGCACTCGTCTCAGCCATTGTAGTTCCCGGCGATAGTCATATGGTGTCAGTTCCCGCTCGAGTTCGGGGCTAACGGGTATCGCTGGTCGGGTGCGTCCGCACGGGTGGGGGTGTGACCACTGATTGCACCCATTTTTGCCATTGTTTTCGACTCGTTGTATGACATGAAGAGTCGACTCGTGTGGACAGAGGATCCACTGTTGAGTCCAAACAAATCACTCCCACATGTGATGTGCCGTCGCTTCAAATCTGGCGCCAAGTCTTGCGACACAAATCATTTCAATCGGCGTTTGGTTTGAATTTTATGCACATTTTATGTGTCCATCAATTATGTCGTTATTTCTCAAACACTTGTTTTGCCACAAAATTGAATTTTAATTACAATTAAATTGGAAATCATTTCAATAGATATAAATATATTATCCGATAAACGCATAAAATTCACAGCAATTGTCAAATAATGGCACAAATGGTGACCAAAAGCGGGAAAAAGTGTGTCTTCATTGGCGGACGTAATGCATGTGAGGAATGGAGTGATTGAGTCGAGTCTTTCCCTCTTTGCCTCTCATTTGAGTTTTGAAACGATTTGTTTGCGTTTGAGTCCAATATTTGTGTCAAACAGTCAAACAAATCGCCATTTGATTTGATCCGCGAACTGATCCCAAGAAGTGAGCGGACAAGATATGGGCCCCAAAGAGGTGGTAGAAGTGCTGGACTATCGCAAAAAGGGCAAAAACATGGAGTATTTGGTCGGTTGGGCGCCCACTTGGGAGGCGGAGACGGACCTGAGCTGTAAGAAACTGCTCAACGAGTTTAAGGCGAAGAACGGCTCGAATGGCACCGAAGAGGAAGAGGACGGCGAGAGAGAGGAAGAGGTGGAGGAGAAGAGTGGTAACACTGGCCGCAGAGGAGCGCCCCGTAAAGCGGCGCCCAAACGCGAAGCCCCGGCCAAGGGTTGTCCCAAACCGTCGAAACGCCGTTAAGACACTCAACACCGGAACCGATGGACGCCATCCTTATCCCCGACACATGTGTCCACTTTTTTTTGAAATTATTTAACTATTGTTTTAATTCATATCTCATATTATAAATGACAAAATAATACATTTTATCCGATTTTACAGTATTTTCATTCACGTGTAAACGTATTATAAAATCTCATTTCAAATCTCTATTCAATAAAATAAAGTCAAAATCAAAATCAAAATGTGTTTTATTTTGTGGTATCAATGAATGCGAATAAAGGGCTTGTATTGGGAAGTGTTGTCATTATGTGATTGATATAGTGGTGAAGGATTGGATCAATTGAATGGTTGTAGTGTTGGACTCATTGACTGCATTCTTACTTATGTGGGACAACAACTCTATTTAACTCATGATCATTAACTATTGGTAAAATTATACTATTTTGTGAGAGTACTTTAATTATAATTTGCTTATTGGATACCTTATTTTGCTTATAGCTAATTAAGTGCAAATTAATCTTATTATAGACATTACAAAAATAGTTATTCAAAACGTTTGATAGCATTATAATAGAGAAACCAAACCATAGACTGATATACGAAGCAATATATGAGACAAACTCTTCAAACAGTATTTTTGGCGAATGGCTATGGATTAGGTCGGGTGTGTTCCATTTAAATCACAATTAATTCAATATCCGGATAGAGTTGTCAGCCATAAGACAAATGATTATTATTTACTTTACAACAAAGTAATAATCAATTCATTGCCCAAACCATAGACTGATATACGAAGCAATATATGAGACAAACTCTTCAAACAGTATTTTTGGCGAATGGCTATGGATTAGGTCGGGTGTGTTGGGGGCGTATAACGTAAGATAAAAGTGATCAAAGTGAAATGAATATTTCATTATATTAAGCTGAAATAACTCTTGTTTGCACTCGACTTTCTCTCCGCAATATTTGCGACATTTTTTGTTTAACATTTCATCTAAACTAAAGTTATTTTTATAAATACTGTACAAATTTAACATTTTTATGTTTAGTGTTTGATTGTATGCTAAATAATTTCCGGGCCAATAATTGACTAACTGTTTGAGATTATGAGTTATTTTACACATATCTATACAATGGGTGAGAGATTTATAGCCAATAGTGTTGTAATCAAAGCAATCGGTTTCGTATGGTTTGGGCAATGAATTGATTATTACTTTGTTGTAAAGTAAATAATAATCATTTGTCTTATGGCTGACAACTCTATCCGGATATTGAATTAATTGTGATTTAAATGGATTTCTAATCAATTGGTCTCTCGGATGAAGGATTAGTCGAAAATTTGGTTTTTCTAATAGTATTTGAACGGAGAATATCTCAGTCATAAAATCATAAAATGCAATATTATTATAGACTTCATAATATTTATCGGATTTGCCCTTTGGTTGAGAAAAAAATGTGAAACACATTCTGTATTAAGAAAATAATTATTAATTAATTTAGTAATTGTCTCGATAAATCACGATTTGTTTTAATGTTTGTTTTATTTGTAATATCTTTAAGGTATTTGACTTTTAAAACACTATATTTAGTGAAACATATAGTGATTGCCGGCAATGAAACGATTGAAAATTTGTTGTAATTAACATTTGTTGTGGTTTTGTATGAGAAATATATGTCACATATTATTACAATTTGATACAAACAGACGGCTAAACATAATGTGAAGAATATTCTGTGAAATAATATTGAAAACATAATTATTTAAAGATATATCAAATTAAATGCAATACTTTTGCACAAAATATTATTTGTATGTATTTTTATTTAAAATTTATTTGTAACTTATTTTAAATATTTATATTTATTTGAATATAACTATAAATTTACATTATTTAAATTAGTTTTGGATAAGTTATGATATTTTATGAAATAAAATTTATACTGTATAATATTGATATGTATTCTCTATATCAATAAATTTATGGTAAGAATATATTTACTATTGGTTTTATATATTTGTTATTTACAATAAATTTTTTAATATTTCTTAATAGCTTATTAATATATTATTTTGTCCTTCTTTATAATATTTCTTTTACTATTTCAAAGCATTTAAGTATATAATAAAAACGAATAAAAATTTACCATGTTGACATTCATGAACATAATTGTTGAAAAATTGCACCTGCAGTATACTGTACATGGCACTATTGTTCACTAAAACAGAGTAAATTATTTAAAGGTAAAACTACATTTAACTAGTATGTATTTACTGTTTGTACCATTTGTTATATTTATTTTATATTGATGCAGTTTAAGGATAATCTTATATTTTATATTATAATTAATATATTCTTATAATTATATGCAATGCTTACAATACAAATACATACACAATATACCATATAATAGCGCTATTACAACACAAATACCTATATATCTTATTACAAACTTAATTATAACAATTATAATCAATATAACAAATATATGTAACTTTATATTTACGGCTCACATGCATATCGCCATATATGTAATTGTATTCAGTTATGTGTTTTACGCCCCAATAAAGTGTAATTGTTTTGTGTGTCTAAACGTGTGGACATAAATACCCGCCGTTAGCCGCGCAGCGCCCGACCCGCACATTACCTAAAGACACTGGTAGTCTGACCAGATGTCCGAAGGGACAATATAATGTAAAAATACATTTATAATATTAAATATTTAATGTAAATGAATATTTCTAAATGTTGTATTCCTTAAATGAAGTAAACATTTACGATGTAAAGTAAGTAAACAAATACTTTATATTTATTTTGAAAACAGTTGCTTTATTTATTTTTATTAAAACAAAATTAACAGGAACAAATTTATTTTCAAATTACAAACACTAATATTAATTAATTGCTTAATTGTTTTCTACATTCAATATATTGGAAAATTGTAATACAATTAGTGATTAAATTATATTAATGCAATATAATATAAATTGTTGCAAATATGTATTGTTGTCAAAATTATTTAAATAGATTATAATTGAAAGTAAATTTATAAATTTAAAGTAATTAATCGTTATTTAGTATTTATAGTTTAATTAACATTAGAATTATTTGTGGTGACAACACTATGATTATCATGATGAATAATTGTTGGCAGATTTATATTAGGTGAATGTAATTGAATTATAATCTGTTTATTAGAGACCTTATTATGATTATTAAATATATTACAAATAAAATTCTTTTTTGAATAAAAATAAACCAAAGATTTATGCAAAATATTTGATAGCATTATAATAGAGAAACCAAACCATAGACTGATATACGAAGCAATATATGAGACAAACTCTTCAAACAGTATTTTTGGCGAATGGCTATGGATTAGGTCGGGTGTTGTCGGCGCGTATAAAATAAAATAATATTTACCAAGATTAAATGAATATTTTTGTACATTAAGCTGAAACAATTCTTGTCTGCACTCGACTTTCTCTCCGCAATATTTGCGACATATTTTACTGAAAATTTCATCTAAACTGATATTTTGTTTATAAATTGAGTACATGTTTGACATTAATATATCTAAACTCTGATTATATGCCAAATTATTTCCGGGCCATACGTTCTTCCATTGATTTAAACTACTTTCAATTTTACACATATGTATACAATGTTTGAGGGATTTATAGCCAATAGTGTTGTAATCAATGCAATCGGTTTTGAATGGTTTGGGCAATGAATTAATGATTATTTTGTTGTAAGTTATATAATAATCATTTGTCTTATTGTTAATAACTCTTTCCGGATATTCAATGAATAGTGTCATTAGTGTATTTCTAATCAATTGATCCCTTGGATGAAGACTTACCCGAAATTTTAAGTTTTCAACTAATATTTCAACGTTAAGTATATCTGCGATCCAATCGTAAAATGCAATGTTATTATTGATTTCAAAGTATTTATTGGATTTGCCCTTTGGTTGAGAAAAAAATGTAAAACACAATCTGTATTAAGAAATTAGAAAAATTAATTATATTCAGAGAGAGAGAGAGAGAGAGAGAGAGAAAGGAAGGAAGAGAGAGAGAGAGAGAGAGAGAGAGTTAAGTAAATACTCATGGAAATTAATTGATGGCATAATATCACTAATTTCTTGGCAATCGATATAATAATTATAAAAATCATTTTGTGAATAATTAATATGTCTGTTATTTTTATAAATAGTTGGTGTCAATACATTACATAATTTAAAAATTTCGTTATATTTATAAAGCATATTAAATTGTTGTTCAATTGTATAATTTAACAATTGGTCGCAAAACGCATAATTATCTCTAATTATGGTTTTATTTGTTAAAGTTTTAATGTAATAGTCTTTTGAGACATCGATTTTATCAAAACATATAGTGATTGCCGGCAATGAAATCACTGAAAATCTATCGTAAATAACAGTTGTTGTGGTTTCGTATGAAAAATATATTTTACATATTGTTATGATTTGATACAAACAGACGGATAAACACAATGTGAAAAATAATTTATGAAATACCTTTGAAAACATAATTATATACTAATTGCGAATAAACTACAAAAAATTTTGAATATAGATTTACT